ATATATATATATATGCATGTATATGTGTAGTATTTATATATATGGCATCTATCCTCTGACACCTTGACCTTCAATAACTATAAGCTGCATGAATACAAATTGCATATTTGATAAGTATACTAACTGAAGAATATTGGTTGATATTTCTTCCTTAACATAATGATGAGTTCTATTTTCTTTTAGGAAAAAGTCATAATTGAGAGTTGAGGGGAAGGGTATGGTAATATTTCTTCTTGGAGGAGATAGTACAAGAATATTTACTGACCACCTACTATGTGCCAGGCAGTGTGCTAGACATTTTGTGTGCCTTATGTCATTCATTCTTCACAACACCCCTGTGAGATGGGTATTAGTATGCCCATTTCACTAATAAGGAAACTGAGGCAAAAGCAAACACGCCCCAGACCACAGAGCTGTGAGTTAGCGCCAGGTTTGTTGTTCATGCCCATCTCTGTTCCTGACCTCCTGTCTCTGTGTAGCTGTGCCTAAGTTAGAAGTGCCACAGGGAATAAAGCTATATGGATGTGAAGTTACAATTCAAGGACCGTCGTGCTACAACTGCACAGATCCAACAGTTCATATATAGTGACTGTCACAGCAACTCAGTGTCCAGGTAAGAGCAAAAGAAGTGGTCCTGATTCATTATCGAAGGCCTCTGCCGGGAGTCAGGTAGGATCAGAATATTTAGAAATAATAATATTTGTCAATTTTTACATATCACTGTGTGGGTTTTGGAAAAGTGCTCTAGGTGAACTGATGTCCCCCACAACACACACATAAACACCCAGCTGAGAACTTCTCTTTGATACCAGTGGTTCTCAAAGTTGGCTGCTCACCGCAATCATCCGGGGAGCCCTACAGTGTATAGAGGCCTGGGTCTCACCTCCAGAAGTTCTGATTAATTGGTCTGGGTGCAGCCTGGGCATTGACATATTTAAAAGCTGCCTGCAGGATCTGCTACCTAATTTGCAGGACCTAGTGCAAAATGAAAATGCAGGATTTCTTGTTCAAACGTTATTAAGAATTTCAAGACTGTGACAGCAGAGCACTAAACTAAGTGTGGGCCCTTCTGACTACGGGGCCCTGTGCAATGGCTCTGGTCACAGGCCCATGAAGCCAGGCCTGGCTGCCCAGGTGATTCTAATACGCAGCCAAGGCTGAGAAGCACAAGCCTAAACTATCCAAGCTTATTTCAAATGGATTAGTGAACTGCCCAAAGCCCTGGAGTACCTAGATTTTATTTCTATACCTTTGACTACTTTAGGAAGCAGAGCTTGCATACAGGATGCCTGTACAGGGGCTGGCACATGGTGTGAGTGTTATAGATGTGAGTGGAGACAGAGAAGAAAAGAAGGAAGGAAGAAACCAATGAAGGCGTGGCTTTAAAAAGTTGTATCTACATAGAATGTCATGGATCAAATTACTCTCCTAATTAACAAGTGTTATTTCATTGTTTCATCCTGTGGCTGAT